GATAGTCCCGTCCTGTGATCGTCACACTTGATAGTCCCGTGTCCCGCCCTGTGATCGCCACACTGTATAGTCCCGTCCTGTAATCGTCACACTTGATAGTCCCGTGTCCCGTCCTGTGATCGTCACACTGTATAGTCCCGTCCTGTGATCGTGACACTTGATAGTCCCGCGTCCCGTCCTGTGATCGTCACAGTTGATAGTCCCGTGTCCCGTCATGTGATCGTCACACTTGATAGTCCCGTCCTGTGATCGTCACACTTGATAGTCCCGTGTCCCGTCCTGTGATCGTCACACTGTATAGTCCCGTCATGTAAACGTTACACTGGACTTCCTGTCTTGTAATCGTCATTCTAGAGTCTCGTCACGGTCCTGTAATCATCACATTGTACAGTCAAGCGTTCATTAAGTTCCAAAATAATACTGTTGTGCGAATTTCTAAAAAAAAAGATTGAAAGAGTGGGTAAATAAGGCTAAAACCAGAGTGATTCGTGGACTTTTGACACAATTCATTCTCCTAAATTTTATATTGCCCAGAAATGTACATCCTAAACAACATGAAACAGTACACAACTATATATATATTACGGGTTTCCTGTCTTTTTGTGATTTTTAAATTACGCTGTTGACATTTATACATGCGCATAATATCATTAAAGAAACTAATCATTCTTTATACTTTGATTTAAAGTCTCCAACTGTTTACCATACAACACAATAATTGTTTCCACATTACATTGGGAAAGGGGTAAAATTTGAAGTTTCTGACGTGATTCACACTATGTGCGTCAACCTCTGACGTTACGTTATTGTAGGTGAAAAGAAATAAGACAATATTCTCAGAGGGCGTAACATTTCAATGTTAAAATAGATTTAAAATGACACATGAAAAATAAAAGTTAGGAGAGATGATTTCATAAAAAAATGGATTTCAAGAGGTTGAAATAAAGGTTATGACGTCATACTATTAACCCAGCATGACGTCAACACTGAGGTTAAAACTTGATCGGCCTTGGTGGCAAAGACATTTAACGTAAAATCCATGCGGCACGCAGAGGGTTAATTACTGACGCCGTTGCTAGGACCTCTAACGCTCACATTTTCCCGCGAAAACACGCTGTTCTCTCTACCGCCACTACCCAGAGACGTATAATTGCTTTAAATATGTCGCTGACTACTCTAATGTATCAAGAGAGAAAAACAGCTTTTATATTTCAATATCAACTCCATGATCGACAGTAATCTGGCTTATGGTCGGGTGGCACAGTGGATAGCGCACTTCAGTTCGTTTTCCCGATTGGATTTGAAAAGGTTTGGGTCACCTTCCCCCGACCGCGTGGGGTTTCTCGGGTATTTCCTCCAACATAAGCCCCCATCCCCCACCCCACCCCACCCCCAACTTCCGGGCCAACAAGAGTGATTAATATAATAAGTTGAAATAACTTGTTTCATAATTGTTGCAAAATAAATATAGTATTTTTATATAAACACTGAATTGAAAGCGCACGGCGTATAATTATTGCTAAAAAGAGAATGGGTACCGTAATAGTTGAGATGAAGTTGATACTGGCATGAAATACCTCTGAGATCACGTGAATTATAACGAAAAATACTAGTACGGGTGGGGTTCGAACCCACGCGGAGAGAGCTCCATTGGAACTTAAGTCCAACGCCTTAACCACTCGGCCACCGTACTGCATGATGGGATTGAGGGAAATACAAATTACTGGCATGGGTTATATTACCAGTAACTGATGATGAAATAATAGACCTACATGTACTTTTATTTTGACAGCTGGGCTGCTGAGTTTATCCCAAAACTCATTTTAAACTCACTTTGAAATTGTATTTAACATTTTCAATTTAATTAGATATTTACATTGCCATTTTAACTATTTTTGACTGTTTGGAAAGTATTTGATAAGTCCGTGACATCATCATCATGATTTAACTTTTTTTTGTGGTAGAAAAAGTAATCTATATCTTCAAACGAAGTGTGTTTCAATTCAATTATTTGTGGAATCCTGAATGTTTAAGTAACAAAAGCCTTTCAAGCTGGATCACTGTTAACACGACAAAGAAGTTTACAGTTGCAAATACAACATAAAAGATTCACATTCTGGATTAGTTAATGTCAATAATATATTCGAAGATAACGACTGTGTGTAATGTTCATAAACAGAGTTGTGTCCCTTCGTCGGTAATTCTTCACCGCCATACTGCCCATAGTGACTTGCATGTTGCCGGCTAGAACGCGAATAACCTTTTAAACTACCTGGACTGGTGGATTCAATAACACAGAATATTTTATAGTGTCAAGCTCGCGACTTAATACACGTGGACAATGGTGAGTTTATGGAAAATGTGTTTTGGTCACACAAATCACAACGATCCGGTTTTGTGACTGAATGTTCGGTCTGTAATCTACGCGTTTTTGTTATTGATGTGTACTGTTTTAAAGTCTTTCGGTAAATAGATGATATATATTCTAAACGTATGCTTTACTATATACTAGACCTAGTAATGTCCAACTTCTTAATGTATTAGGGTTTTTGCGTTTGAAACCATCAACACACATTTGGATATAGTAATCTTGCATTTGGGCAACTGCTTCTTCTTGATACGAGGGCTCCATCAGTTTGATGATTATGCCATCGGAGTAAAATTTGATTATACCATTTGAGTAAAATTTGTATTACTGATATGGAGAATAAAGTGAAATAAAAACACACGAAGTTCTTTTTAAAACTTGGAGCAAAAAAGGCCGTTATTCTTTCAACTAAATCCAGTAAGTAACACAACGAATTGTACACAAAAAGTTATCAGATGTCTTACTTTTGGTGAAAATGACAAACAATATCACTGATTTTGTTCTCCATTGACTTCAGTGTCAATGGGATCAATCTGTGCAAATGTGACAGGTGAGCATGATTTTGTCTGTGTGCTACTGCTATACATGTATAGCTACTCTACAACACACTATATAAAGCAATGGAGGGGCATACCATCTGTCATTTCCACAAAGGTTTAGACAACTGAATTAACATTATTTTGCACACAAGTGCATCTCATTGTATCTTTTATTGGAATATGTTGAAAGAATGATGCCCGTCTTTGTTCATTATGTTTAAAGGAACTTTGTGTATTTCCATTTCGCTTTATTCCCCATTTCAGTAATAAAATTGTTACTCAAATGAGTAACTGTTCCCCAAATGCAGGATTATTACCTTTATAAGCTGTTGTGCCCAACCTGATTAATACTTGTGATAAAACCATGCAGATTGTATTTATTCCAACGTTAACTGGAGATATCCATTTGTACAGAAGACTCTATTTTAATTTCTGTTTTTTTTTTAGAGTATCCTCGAGTACAATGGTGCAGCTATCATTGCCATGAAGGGAAAGAACTGTGTGGCAATTGCTGCTGACAGGAGGTTTGGAATACAGGCTCAAACTGTTAGCACAAACTTTCAGAAAATGTTTGAGATGGGACCAAGACTGTACATAGGGTTACCAGGCCTGGCAACGGATGTGCAAACGGTGTATGTGTCAAAGTTTCATTGTTTTACAGTAATGAATAGCATTTAGCCACAGTTGCCAATGACATTAAAAAGATCATTACCTTTAAGTTGGATGCTTTAGCAGCAAGCTGAATTGCCAATTACATTAAAAAGATCATTACCTTTAAGTTGGATGCTTTAGCAGCAAGCTGAATTGCCAATTACATTAAAAAGATCATTACCTTTAAGTTGGATGCTTTAGCAGCAAGCTGAATTGCCAATTACATTAAAAAGATCATTACCTTTAAGTTGGATGCTTTAGCAGCAAGCTGAATTGCCAATTACATTAAAAAGATCATTACCTTTAAGTTGGATGCTTTAGCAGCAAGCTGAATTGCCAATTACATTAAAAAGATCATTACCTTTAAGTTGGATGCTTTAGCAGCAAGCTGAATTGCCAATTACATTAAAAAGATCATTACCTTTAAGTTGGATGCTTTAGCAGCAAGCTGAATTGCCAATTACATTAAAAAGATCATTACCTTTAAAGTTGAATGCTTAGCAGCAAGCTGATATATTAAGCACTCTTTTGCAAAGAACAATTAATTTCAATACTTTTCCAATTGAAATATGTATGTACACTACACAGTCAAACTTTGATGTTTTAAACTTTGTGGGACCATTGAGAAAAAATTGAAAGTTGTAGACTTCGACTCACAAGTGTTGAACATCAAAGATCAAGATTTTGTACACAAGACAGAATGTGATTTGTATGTGATGAAACACAGACTAAGAAATTTAATTTGAAATGTATAAATATAGATTTACAATAATAACTAAATAAGAATAGTACACTACTGTAGATTGCATGGTGATCTTATCAAGTTTTATATTTCTTCATTTATCAGTTAGATTTCCCCTTTGTTGTAGTGTTTTCAAAAAAGGAATTAAAACTAAATTATATGGATATCATTTTTTTTTTTTTTTACAAAAGTAGGTTAATAACGTCATTAGTCAATATATAAAACACATACATAGTCATGTACATACCATTTTTTTCGACTTTGGTCAATGTTTATGATTCAAAAGTAATTCTGGTGAATGTTTCTTGCAGAGTAATCACTGCTAACGGATTATCACCTTGTGTCATAATAATTCACACTGCTGTATTTGAGAAAATAATAGTGAGTTAATCAGTGTCAGTTTATTTCCTGTAAATAATTAGGTGAATGTATTAAAATTAAATGACTGCAGGACATTTCATTACTCTCATACAGGTTCATTTTTCACTTCAAATTATAAGTTGTAATTTTCAATGTTTTCATAATTAATTGACTCATAAAAGTTTGATTCACGAATAGAATATAAGTAGTGTTATTACTGTAATAAAAAGGGAGAAATCTTGACCTTGCCACAATTCGAAGTGCAATTTATGGAAGTTTGACTAGTTGTAAAATTCTTCACGCAAATTTATATACAAATATGGATCCAGAAACATGGATACTTTTCCTTAGAGAATTTCAAATGGGATCAAACATAGACTTTTAAATATGTTCATTCTTCAGTATCACCAGTGATCATAGGGCATTTCTAAAAGTTAGGTCCTTATATACAGGCAATAAGCATAGAAATCTCAGGAATATAACAACAAATATAATTTACAATTGTACCACATTAAATTTTTTTTTTTATTATTTGCAGTGCTCAAAAATTACAATTCCGTGTGAATCTGTATGAACTTCGTGAAAACAGGAGACTTAAACCAAAGACATTCATGAGTATGGTATCCAATTTGTTATATGAAAGGAGGTAAGTACTAAAATACACAGTACAATCAAGTACTAAAATACACAGTACAATCAATTCAGTACGTCAAATTTACGTGTTAAATGTAAATAACAAACAACCTATTAACCTACTGTAAAATTTAAAACATAATCGTAATATTTTAACTTTTTGAGAAAATGTTCTTGAATTGTGTATGTAGCATTATATTGTTAAAACTGATATGGCTGTTTCAACACTGATCATAAAAGAGGACTTCAGTACTACGTACTGACAAACATATAGTACGTACAGTCCCTACTCTGCTGATCAGTTTCGGTGGCCATGCATGGTAGTTACGATTCATTGCTCATTGGCTTGCCAAGAGATCTATAGCAGGGGTGGAATTAACTGCTGGCCAGCTGTGGCCAGTGGTCATGTAGGTTTTTCAACAAGCTATCCTGCTGGGCCAGTAGATATTTTCTAAATTCATATATAAATCTGAAATTTCAGCAGATTTGAAAAGCGTTATTTTAAGCCCAGAATGCACTAGAATACACAACAGAGCTTCTAGATTTCCGAATTTTCATGGGAGGGGGCATGTAAATGTGTAAATGATCCTGGATTTCCCTAGTATTGAGCGCCTGCAGCCCTTGTTGGACCAGTGAATTTTTATTTTAACTGGACCTTAGGGCCTGTACAACCCTATATTTTTTTTTAATTCCACCCCTGCTATAGCCACTAACATCATCAAATACACGACCAATGAAACTACAGACCTGCAGCTATAGAATGACATCGTTCTAAAATTGACAAAAAGAGAAAGCTATAGAACATTAACTCATTCACCCCTGAAGACACTTTTGAACTGATCTTCAAATTCAAAAGTTAGAATATAGTTCATTATGAAATTTCAGGGGTGAATAAGTTAAAGTTCAGACACACAAGGGTTGTTACATTTCAGAAACATCTCTTCAATAAAGGTGTTGATATTATATATATATCCAGCAGTAAAATTTAAATAAATACCATGACCTTCAGTAATTTGCTTAATGATCTGTACCATGGTATTAAGTTTTTTGAAGCAACCAGAATTTGTATTATGTATGTATATATACCAACAATTAACTACAATTGTGAACATTTTTTCAAATGCTCCATTGGCAGTTCCAAAGAGTTGAATATTAAATTGAATCAATTTATGGTGTTGAAGCAGCTCATCTCTCCCTCAATTCCCCACATCTTTTCCCCAATTACTGTGACTCGAGCTACATGACAGTACTCCTTCACACTGAACATCACAGTGTGGGTACTGGGTATGTGAGAGTAACAAAGGAATCTTGTTTATGCTGTGAGTACGTGGCTCAAATTCAGTCTCAATTAAATTTGTACTTATTATATTTGACACCACTATCAGATCCTCAATAATCTTCCTAAACATTATTTGTAAGCTCAACGAGACAATACAAAATCAGCTGGAACTACACTCATATGTATTTATTTACTCCTTCAGGTTTGGTCCATATTTTGTTGAACCTGTTATTGCTGGTCTTGATGCGAAGACTAACGAACCTTACATTGCATCGATGGATCTGATTGGCTGTCCCATGGTGACCGATGAATTTGTTGTCAGTGGTACCTGCTCCGAACAAATGTATGGAATGTGTGAATCACTATGGAAACCAGATATGGTGAGTTATTGTGTCATGGTAAACTCCAGCTCTATAATAATCATGATGATAATTACTAAATGCTTTCAATTATAGATTTTAATCAAACCATGTTTCATATGTAGTTGAAGATTTATGTATACAAAAGTTAAACACATCCAATATTGTGCACAAACAGTAAACCATATGATACAAATGACTGAAATTAGCTAAATGTATCAGTATCACAATAGTAAAACACAGTAAAATGTTTTCTCTAATAGTAATCCTAAAGTCAGAATTATCTGTATTGGTCACCCTAATGGTAATGTATATGATATACTCAAACATTATACTTCTCTATGCAGTGTTTTGCAATAGAAAATCATATTAAATGAGTTGAATGCTTGTAATGACAGGGACCAAAGGAACTTCTGGACACGATATCCCAAGCCTTACAGAGTGCTGTAGACCGAGACGCAGTGTCAGGATGGGGCTGCATGGTCCATATCATGTAAGTTTATATCTGTACAGTTCTTTCTCTCATTTCCCTGTGTGTAAGATAGAGCTGTCCAGGGAAATAAAGGGGTGTAGGAAATTTCTATCTTGCACCCCATTTCACGTGACGTGACGTCACAATTGCTCAACAATGACCTGACGACACAAATTTGGAAAACACTGATGCCGCAATGCGGAAAAGGTGACATGATGAAATTAAAACCTTTTACTACATATTTACCGTACAGGTTAGAAATTTGTGAAATATTTTTCTGTGCAAACGTTGTTTGCAAATATGGGATATGCTTAACATGGCTTATTGGCTGGCTAATTCGTTTTCGTCTAAAAAGCTCAGGGGGGGATTTTATATTTTCAGAATGATGGCCAGTCCAAATGCAATTTCATGGTTTCTGAGCTTATTCTGGTGATTGGAATGAGAGAAAAATACTCTTTCATGCCCAAGGGTGTAGGATCGGGAAATTACACCCTCATGATTTTCAAATTTGATAAAAAACCTCGGCAAAGCCTCAGATTTCACCAAATTTGAAAATTCTTTGGGTGGAATTTCCCTATCTTACACCCCTGGGCATGAAAGAGTCTTATAATCTTATCTCAAGTCGTGGGAAAATGTGTTTTAAAGAAAAAAGTCATACTGTGCTGTAAATGGAGATAATTGTGAATAAAAATGTAACTAATAGTTATGGATGCTGGACTTTCGGGTGTAGAATTCAGTGTGGGAAGATGCCTAGGTTTTCCCTGTACCTGCAAACCAACATAAAATGTCATGCTATTGTATAAAATGTCCAAATCTCCATATGATAGGAACACATGTTCACTTAACATGAAGTAATTATCCAGCAATAAGCCGATGTCTGGTAATAAGCCTGTCCAAATAATTTGCTGTTCAGTATAAATGCAAACTGCCATTATCCTGTATAAGCCCACTTCTTTGAGTCCAAGATTATATGTTTTTCTCCTTAGTTTAATGGTGAATAAATACGGCAATAGTTGCAATGTGTGATTTTTAATTGGTCTCTTAAGACAACTGGTCTTTCAAACAGATTTTTTTTTGTATTTGTAAATCCATCAATTCATTTGTCGTAATGTTATTTTTAGAATATGGAATCTTGTTTATTTCAGAGAGAAAGACAAGGTTACAACGACAGAACTTAAAGGAAGGATGGACTAGGAATATCATATGTTTTTCATAGACATTTCACAACTACAATCTTTGTCTGTTCTTTACCTGTGACATTTGACCTGTGAACAAGAAGGACTCACCCCACACCATTCGTACATCGGGTGTGAACTGCTTCAAAGGATGGTTTCATATAGATATAACGAAAGGATAGAAGACATCAAGTTGTTATCTGAGATGGTTGATGCTTCTACTTTATCATTTGAAACTTTTGATAATAAACAATTTAGCTACTGGTTACACATAGAATGTCATTATGTATCGATTTCTCTCAGACTCTTGAATAACATCTGTTCATTGATTTGGTCATACTAGCAAAAAAAAGATTATCTGATGTTAAGTGTAACTATAAGGAATCCACTGTGAGGGTTTGTATATTACACACAAGTCAGACAGGAGCTGTTCCATCTAATAGAAAGAGAGTAGATCAATCCTACATATCTGTATGGTTGTGTCATTAGTTGACACATACTTATAACCAAGAAATAGTGCATCATTTAGTGATATTCAAACAAAAAGTGCTAGCACAGTAACGGTGAATGACTGTATGTATGGTTGGTGAACACATGTTCAATACATAAGAATGAATCGGTGTATGAAAATAAAAAACTTTCAATAAACTAAGTTGTGTTTATCTTGATATTTACCTCCCCTTAATTATATCACGGATTATATGAACACAGTGTGTCGTTGTGAAAAGGTTTTACTTCCCATTTTAAACATGGTTTATACGTACCAAACGCACAATTACCCAACAAAGCGTTGGTCCTAGTGAGAAGCTTTTGTACCATATTTACCATCGCCTAGTAATCTTGCCATATGACCCTGCCAGATTATATTGGTGATCTATATGAGCTATGAATGCCACAGACTAGTTATGGGAAAAAATGTAATTCTGGCATGTTTCAAACCACTGCAACGTTGCAGCTCTGTTTTAAAACATGGATGAGAAGTATTTAACATTAAATTGTATTTGGTAAATATAACCAATGAACTGCTTTAAATTGGCATTGAAATTGATTGCATGTCAACTGGAAGATTACAATTTGCATGTGTAGTTTGTTCTTCCAAAGGCATTCATGTATTGAATATGAATGCCAATTAAAAGCTGCACTTATAATCATGTCACAAAATATGTTAAATTCACTCCCAGACATTATCAATGGGAACAGAAGAAGATGGATTCTTGTATTGAAGACATGAAATGTATTGGATAGTGTTTCGTGTGACTAAGTGGTTCATGTACTTTTCAATTCAAAGAAGATTACATAGTGCAAGAGTACCGCGGGGCGGAACAATATACTCCCGTCGAATGCCATATAGTATTATATACTTTCTTACATTGAAATAAGATCTGCATCATTCTAAGAGTGGTTAGCTGACGTGCTATAAAAAAAAATAGGAGAAAATCTCCCGACAAAAGATCAAATACTGAAATGAACAAAGGGCAATAACTTTTGCAAAAATCGTCGAATAAAAATTCTTTTAAGGGAGACACAACTTATATCATGATTATAATGTATACCAAGTTTCAAAGAGATCCGTTGAAAAAATGTAGGAGGAGATTGCCGGACAAAAATCAAATACTGAAATACATTGTCGAATTAATTATTTTTTTCCAGGAAACAACATGATTATCCGTCAAAAAATGTAGGAGGAGATTGCCGGACAAAAATCAAATACTGAAATACATTGTCGAATCAAAATTCTTTTCAAGGAAACACAACAACATATGATTATCCGTCAAAAAATGTAGGAGGAGATTGCCGGACAAAAAAATCCAATACTGAAATGAACAAAGGGCAATTTCTTTTGGAAAGATTGTCGAATCAAAATTCTTTTAAGGGAGACACAACTTCATATCATGATTATAATGCATACCAAGTTTCAAAGTGATCCGTTGAAAAATGTAGGAGAAGATTGCCGGACAAAAATGAAATACTGAAATAAACAAAGGGCAATAACTTTTGCTAAAATTGTCGAATCAAAATTCTTTTCAATTTAGCCCACTAAGTTTCAAAGAAATCCCGTCAAAAAATGTAGGAGGAGATTGCCGGACAAAAAAATCAAATACTGAAATGAACAAAGGGCCATTACTTTTGGAAAAAAATGTCGAATCAAAATTCTTTTTTAAGGGCGACACAACTTCATATCATGATCACAATGTATAGCAAGTTTCAAAGAGAAAAATGTAGGAGGAGATTGCCGGACAAACAAACGTTTACGCCGGACGGACGGACGGACAAACCCATACCATAATCCTCCCGTCAAATTGACGGGCGTATAAAAATGATCACCCGAAATACATGTGAACGAAGATAAACACATTTGAAAATTTTGTTTGTAGATGGAGAAAGCCAGAGTAAACATTCGACTGCACCATATGGTAAACGTTCCGAAAAATATGTAGATACAGCGAAAAGAAAAAAGTGACTAAAACCCTTTATAAAGTTACAACTTGAGGCTAAAACGAATATTTTTAGTATTCATGTAAACCGTCACCGAATCAATTTCAACTGCATATTTGACCATTTTGAAATAACATGGAACTACTTAATGTTCTAGATAGGTGTTTCATTCACACATTGGTCACTTCACTCGATACAGATGTCGGAACAACATTTGGTTCTAACCAGGCGCTAAATAAAACTTCTGTTTTAGAACCTAGAAGAGCACGTCACCCTCTGTCAACCAACAATGCCACAAAGGTACCAAACACGTCTACCATGGCATAGAAACAGAGCAGCAATGTCACAAAGGTACCAAACATGTCGACCATGGCATAGAAACAGAGCAGCAATGTCATAAAGGTACCAAACACGGCTACCATGGCATAGAAACAGAGCAGCAATGTCACAAAGGTACCAAACACGTCTACCATGGCATAGAAACAGATGTTTCGGAAACTTCGAGCTGTTGTCAGAAAGTCAAATTCTAGCTTCATTCTTGAAAATATGTTCATACTTGCAGCCATGTTGATCATTTTTTTACTTAAGATGACTGATTTCTGTATTTAGTGTACATTATTCTTAATCTTTTCATGACGCCAAGTTTTTATGTTGGTTTTTTTTAATTGTGAGCGATATCAATAATTATCAATCTGTTACATGGCTTCGTTAACCACATAGATATTCTGTAATACTGGTCACCAAGGACTGAGAGAAATAACTTAAACAATCACATTGGTCATCATGTTCAGCGCGGTCATAAAAGCTGCACTTACATCTTGTATTCTCTTAGCTTTCCGGGTCACAAAAAAACCCGATTCAAATTGCTTATTTATAAAAATCTGACAAATTTCTTACACTTCCCTTACAAATGCAAATAGCCATATTTGGAACATGTATTAATATAATAGTAAAGGTATTAGTTACGCAAAAATATGTATATGATCACAAGATAAACAAATCCTAAAGTATATCTAAATATTGCTTTGATGTTTAATAAAAGATTAACAATGTACTACAACTTTATTGACATTATAAATAGATTAAATAAGCTTATACACACACACCTTCTCTTTTTTACATTTTCGCTTTGAAAATCATAATGGAGTATAATTATCTACAGGATATATCGCTACATAGCTAGCATTGGTATCAAAATGATTGTAACTGATACGCATTCGTTTTACAAATGACATGACCCGTTGTTATTTTTCTGACTTATTTGAAATCCAAGGTGCCCGCCTTGGCCTCGTATTGGCATCTCGGTTTTCTTTTGACAACAGAATGTTCTCCGATTGTCTGAGATGTCAACCAATCTTGATATGAATAAAACTCCGACGATCTACATTGATATATTGAGATATAAGTAAATAACAAAAAGTGAACAGATATTGGCATTGATGCTCCAGGAATCTAGGCTGTGGTATACATATAAGGTCTATATACTATAGCTTCCTGTTGCCTGTCATTTACTTCCTTGTCTATGCTGTCGACTACTTCAGTTTATGCTGACGTGTTGATTATTTATATATAAGCAACTATATTTATGTAGGAATATCCTACTCCTGTCCTCCACGGATTTCTATTCCCAGTCCTGCGTAATTTACATTTTTGTATTATATTTCGCTAATATTGACAGAATCATAAATAGCATATATCATACTTATCATTAGTCTCTTGATGCAGCAACGGATAGCCCAAGCTTGATATGCTTTGTGTTGAAATGCACAGGGTCCTTCAGACCGTTGGATGCTTCAACAATGGGATATCAGTGGCGTCCATGACTGTTGACATGGTCAGTTCGTTTTGAGATTTAGTGTGGCTATTATTTTTCATGTATGCCAAAGGAAATGTCAAAGAGGGTTGAATGCATGGTGCCGATAATTCCTTTTCATTTCTTAACGCATGGTTTCGTGTCATAATGTTTTTCGTTCGTTTGGTATTACTCTCGATTCCAGTTTTCTTTTCATATTGAATTTGTGTGTCTTTTGTCCTTATGTGTTGATACAGACTTTTATTTTACTCTGATAGATTAACAAAATCGTGTTGCATTCCTCGATAATCAGCCATGTGTGCGCTTCGCATAGCATAGCTGTGCTGTCATATTTTCTTCAGGGCGAGGGCATAATAAAAAGGAATAATGTTGCGATAATTGTTGGAAGTTTTAGCCTTTGAGTTGGAAATTGAAGCTCATATGACCCTTTGCATTTACTTTTGACTTTCATTTTATTTTCTAATGTAATAATAGTTCTACAGAATTATAATTTTATATTTTACTACTACCTTTTGTTAATAAATACATATTCGTGAAGGTCATGTCGGGTGTACTGACAAGGTAATACAATTACCCTGACGTTACATGTTTAAATTCAGTCTAACGTGTATGTGTCTAGGACGACAAATGGAATGGTGTACGTTAATGCTGAACTGCTACCAACATTTTGAACATTAAAAGCTCAAGTTTTTCTATAGTCATCTGCATGTAAATAAAATACCATATTTTGACCCTTGTCAGCTTTACTCCTTTTTTTTTCTAGACAAGGACTAATTGATAAAACCCGAAAGCACATTTCATGATAAACTCTCGTCGTAATTTATGGGAAAAAATCAAGCTTTAGGTTAAGGCCCACTGAAACAAGTCAAAATTCCTCTTTTAATCATTCATATTTTTTTTTTATATTTTACAACAGTTATAAAACACGTTTCTAAAGCTGTTATTAATCACTCTTATTCGACTGTGCTTTGAAAACGATCGCTGAAACAACAAAAATATTTTAAGACAATTTTAATGATACTTCAGACACATTTAAGTAAACAATCACACATAGATATTATTGTAGCATCTTATGCTTACTTTAGTATCTAGATCAGTAACACTTATACACCAACCATATCGTTTAAATGTCGTGACGTACATTTGTTATTACCATACTTGCATGTTGAAAACAATAAGAACAGTTGAAATTTTGGTTGATAAACCCCGCATATAATACCGTAGACTTCCGTATTCTCTATGAATACCAATTACATATACATTTAATCTAGCTTTGTGATTACTTTCACGGGAGAAAGCAAGAATGACAAAATTAACAGTTTTGGTCCAACTAGTCATATATACAGTTCTACATTGGATTACGAAATCACAATAGAAGCACTCAACAGCAGAAAATGTACTCATTACGAATTTGAGTTGCTGATAAAAAGGCAAAGGTGAATGTCAAAGTAACCACTGTATACTGTGATGTGAGGAATTCAAAGACATTTTTTTATCTATATTAAACTGTACAACTGCAATTCTTTTGATCGCCAGTTCCGTTTTAGCTGTCCGTAGATTGCAATTGCCGTCATTCCTTTCCACCTTTTCGCAACTCTTCTCTGAAGCTCTATAATAGTGATTATGATGAATAAATTTTGAGAGATGGTATCATATTCGCTATCGTTTGCGCAGCAGCTTTCATTTCCACGTTTTTGAATTTCTTCTATTTATCTTTGTTACTTTGTAACAAAATTCTAATGAATCAAGTTATGAATGACGTTATCGTATTATATGTAGTTTGTGTAGCAGCACTCCACATTATTTATGTTGATGAAACGATTTCAATCTTGACTTCCACATCTATAGCACACGTTACTGTATAAACTTGTTTCTAACTCCAGTTCCTAAATACGATGTTTTCCCGGAAATGATGTCGGCTAGTTTTCTAGTCCATGTCCACTTTTGAGTTGACGAAGATGAACAAGGGTTCAGCTTTAATTTCTGTTTGCCTTCCGTCACATCAAGACAAAGGTTAGTTCCCCGTACCACGAAATGATTATCCTGTAAAAAAATAATGACGATTACTGTCGTGTTACTAATATTATTATATATATAAACGTATACATATAGTTTACAAAACGTAACATGCACATCTGAGCGTTGCAATTAAAACAAGAGTCAAGACCATGATGCGCAAGCTATCTAATTGGAGATCTCATTAAACTTGAACACGAATGATTAACTTAGCTTCATTATTACCGGAAATCATTATTCCTTTTTTAACATGCGGATACCGGGATCATACGGCGGAGCATTGGGATCAACTTGAAAAATCACGGGCGTTTAATAAGGCAAATCGTTCAATCACGAAAATTGTAAGTTTACTAAAAGCATCCGTACTTAAGTAATAATTCATACACACACGCTTCCGTTGGGTCACTATAATAACTAAAACTGAGATTAACGTGAGCAATAAAAAGACACCAAATCGAACATGTAATACAGCAATCAGAAATGTAGATCATTGTATGGTACTTACATCTGTGTAGTCCCAAAACCGTAATTGTCTTTCAGCACACACGTTCCATACGACGACGCGTTCCTCCTCCCTGGCTACCAGGCACACGTCCTTCATCCTCACCTCACCGTTCTTAAAGTATCTGAAGTACTGCAAGTACAAAAATACACTTGGCTCTACTTATACACTTAAAATCCTTCTTCTGAAGACAACAATGCCATTCGTATAATGTATATTGTAAAACTGTAAATGTTTTGCAGCGTGGAAATACGCGTTAATTAGTGCAAAAATATCAAAACGCATATATATATATAAAGCTTCCAGAACTATTGCCAACGCGAAAATCCCACACCTCGATCAGTATAAACAGTCACACCGCGATCAGTATAAACAGTCACATCGCGATCAGTATGAACAGTCACACCGCGATCAGTATACACAGTCACACCGCGATCAGTATACACAGTCACACTGCGATCAGTATACACAGTCACACCGCGATCAGTATACACAGTCACACCGCGATCAGTATACACAATCACACTGCGATCGGTATACACAGTCACACGGCGATCAGTATACACAGTCACACTGCGATCAGTATACACAGTCACACTGCAATCAGTATAAACAGTCACACCGTGATCAGTTTAAATAGTCACACCGCGATCAGTATGAACAGTCACACCGCGATAAGTATAAACAGTCACACCGTGATCAGTATGAACAGTCACACCGCGATCAATATAAACAGTCACACCGCAATCAGTATGAACAGTCACACTGTGATCAGTATGAACAGTCACACCGCGATCAGTATGAACAGTTACACCGCGATCAGGATGAACAGTCACACCGCGATCAGTATGAACAGTTACACCGCGATCAGGATGAACAGTCACACCGCGATCAGTATGAACAGTCCCACCGCGATCAGTATGAACAGTCACACCGCGATAAGTATAAACAGTCACACCGTGATCAGTATAAATAGTTACACCGCGATCATTATAAACAGTCACACCGTGATCAGTTTAAATAGTCACTCCGCGATCAGTATAAACACTCGCACCGCGATCAGTATAAACAGTCACACCGCGATCAGTATGAACAATCACACCGCGATCAGTATGAACAGTCACACTGCGATCAGTATGAACAGTCACACTGCGATCAGTATGAACAGTCACATCGCGATCAGTATGAACAGTCAAACCACGATCAGTATAAACAGTCACTCCGCGATCAGTATGAACAGTCACACCGCGATCAGTATGAACAGTCACACCGCGATTAGTATAAACAGTAATACCGCGATCAGTATAAACAGTCACTCCGCGATGATTATGAACAGTCACACCGCCATCAGTATAAACAGTCACACCGCGATAAGTATAAACAGTCACACCGTGATCAGTATGAACAGTCACACTGCAATCAGTATGATCAGTCACACCGCGATCAGTATAAACAGTAATACCGCGATCAGTATAAACAGTCACTCCGCGATCAGTATGAACAGTCACACCGCGATCAGTATACACAGTCACACCGTGATCAGTATGAACAGTCACACTGCAATCAGTATGAACAGTCACACCGCGATCAGTATAAACAGTCACACCGCAATCAGTATGAACAGTCACACCACGATCAGTATAAACAGTCACTCCGCGATCAGTATGAACAGTCTATAAACAGTCACACCGCGATCAGTATAAACAGTCACTCCGCGATGATTATGAACAGTCACACCGCGATCAGTATAAAAAGTCACACTGTGATCAGTTTGAACACTCACACCGCGATCAGTATACACAGTCACACCGCAATCAGTATGAACAGTCACACCACGATCAGTATAAACAGTCACACCGCGATCAGTATAAACAGTCACACCCCGATCAATATGAACAGTCACACCGCGATCAGTATGAACAGTCACATTGCGATCAGTATGAACAGTCACACTGCGATCAGTATAAAAAGTCACACCGCGAATAGTATAAACAGTCACACCGCAATCAGTATAAACAGTCACACCGCGATCAGTATAAACAGTCACTCCGCAATCAGTATGAACAGTCACACCACGATCAGTATAAACAGTCACACCGCGATCAGTATGAATAGTCACACCGCGATCAGTATAAACAGTCACACCCCGATCAATATGAACAGTCACACCGCGATCAGTATGAACACTCACACCGCGATCAGTATACACAGTCACACCGCGATCAGTATACACCAGTCACACCGCGATCAGTATACACAGTCACACCGCGATCAGTATACACCAGTCACACCGCGATCAGTATACACAGTCACACTGCGACCAGTATAAACAGTCACATCGTGTTCAGTTTAAATAGTCACACCGCGATCAGTATGAACAGTCACACCACGATCAGTATAAACAGTCACTCCGCGATCAGTATGAACAGTCACACCGCGATCAGGATGAACAGGCACACCGCGATCAGTATACACAGTCACACCGCGATCAGTATACACCAGTCACACCGCGATCAGTATACACAGTCACACTGCGACCAGTATAAACAGTCACATCGTGTTCAGTTTAAATAGTCACACCGCGATCAGTATGAACAGTCACACTGCGATCAGTATGAACAGTCAAACCACGATCAGTATAAACAGTCACTCCGCGATCAGTATGAACAGTCACACCGCGATAAGTATAAACAGTCACACCGTGATCAGTATAAATAGTTACACCGCGATCAGTATAAACAGTCACACTGTGATCAGTTTAAATAGTCACTCCGCGATCAGTATAAACACTCACACCGCGATCAGTATAAACAGTCACACCGCGATCAGTATGGACAGTCACACCGCGATCAGTATGAACAGTCACATTGCGATCAGTATGAACAGTCACACTGCGATCAGTATGAACAGTCAAACCACGATCAGTATAAACAGTCACTCCGCGATCAGTATGAACAGTCACACCGCGATCAGTATGAACAGTCACACCGCGATTAGTATAAACAGTCACACCGCGATCAGTATAAACAGTCACACCGCGATCAGTATACACGGTCACACCGATATCAGTTTAAACAGTCACACCGCGATCATTATGAACAGTCACACCGCGATCAGTATAAAAAGTCACACTGTGATCAGTATGAACACTCACACCGCGATCAGTATACACAGTCACACCGCGATCAGTATGAACAGTCACACTGTGATCAGTATGAACAGTCACACCGCGATCAGTATAAACAGTCACTCCGCGATCAGTATACACAGTTACACTGCGACCAGTATAAACAGTCACACCGTGTTCAGTTTAAATAGTCACACCGCGATTAGTATGAGCAGTCACTCCGCGATTAGTATAAACAGTCACACCGTGTTCAGTTTAAATAGTCTCCCCGCGATCAGTATACACGGTCACCCCGATATCAGTATAAACAGTCACATCGCAATCAGTATGAACAGTCACACCACGATCAGTATGAGTATAAACAGTCACACCGCGATAAGTATAACCAGTCACACCGTGATCAGTATGAACAGTCACACCGCAATCAGTATAAACAGTATACACAGTCACACCGCGATCAGAATGAACAGTCACACTGTGATCAGTATGAACAGTCACAACGCGATCAGTATGAACAGTCACTCCTCGATCAGTATACACATTTACAATGCGACCAGTATAAACAGTCACACCGTGTTCAGTTTAAATAGTCACACCGCGAACAGTATAAACAGTCACACCGCTATCAGTATAAACAGTCACTCCTCGATCAGTATACACATTTACAATGCGACCAGTATAAACAGTCACACCGTGTTCAGTTTAAATAGTCACACCGCGATCAGAATAAACACTCACACCGCGATCATTATAAACAGTCACACCGCGATCAATATACACAGTCACACCGCGATCAGAATGAACAGTCACACTGTGATCAGTATGAACACTCACCCCGCGATCAGTATACACAGTCAGCCACGATCAGTATGAACAGTCACATTGCCATCAGTATGAACAGTCAAACCACGATCAGTATAAAGAGTCACTCCGCGATCAGTATGAACAGTCGCACCGCGATCAGTATGAACAGTAACACCGCGATCAGTATACACAATCACACTGCGATCGGTATACACAGTCACACGGCGATCAGTCTACACAGTCACACTGCGATCAGTATACACAGTCACACTGGGATAGGTATAAACAGTCACACCGTGATCAGTATAAACAGGCACTCCGCGATCAGTATGAACAGTCGCTCCGCGATTAGTATAAACAGTCACACCGCGAACAGTATAAACAGTCACAAAGCAATCAGTATAAACAGTAACACCGCGATCAGTATACACAATCACACTGCGATCGGTATACACAGTCACACGGCGATCAGTATGAACAGTCAAACCACGATCAGTATAAACAGCCACTCCGCGATCAGTATGAACAGCCACACCGCGATCAGTGTACACAGTCCCACCGCGATCAGTATAAACAGTTACACCGCGATCAGTATAAACAGTCCCTCCTCGATCAGTATACACAGTTACACTGCGACCAGTATAAACAGTCACACCGTGATCAGTTTAAATAGTAACACCGCGATCAGTATACACAATCACACTGCGATCGGTATACACAGTCACACGGCGATCAGTCTACACAGTCACACTGCGATCAGTATGAACAGTCAAACCACGATCAGTATAAAAAGTCACTCCGCGAACAGTATGAACAGTCACACCGCTATCAGTATAAACAGTCACACCACGATCAGTATGAACAGTCACAACGCGATCAGTATGAACAGTCAAACCGCGATCAGTATGAACAGTTACACCGCGATCAGTATAAACATCACTCCGCGATCAGTATGAACAGCCACACCGCGATCAGTGTACACAGTCCCACCGCGATCAGTATACACGGTCACACCGATATCAGTATAAACAGTCACCCCGCGATCAGTATACACAGTCCCACCGCGATCAGTATACACGGTCACCCCGATATCAGTATAAACAGTCACCCCGCGATCAGTATGAACAGTCGCTCCGCGATTAGTATAAACAGTCACACCGTGTTCAGTTTAAATAGTCTCCCCGCGATCAGTATACACGGTCACACCGATATCAGTATAAACAGTCACCCCGCGATCAGTATACACGGTCACACCGATATCAGTAAAAACAGTCACACCGCGATCAGAATGAACAGTCACACTGTGATCAGTATGAACAGTCACAACGCGATCAGTATAAACAGTCAATCCTCGATCAGTATACACAGTTACACTGCGACCAGAATAAACAGTCACACCGTGATCAGATTAAATAGTCACACCGCGATCAGAATAAACACTCACACCGCGATCATTATAAACAGTCACACCGCGATCCATATGAACAGTCACACCGCGATTAGTATGAGCAGTCACTCCGCGATTAGTATAAACAGTCACACCGTGATCAGTATGAACAGTCACGCCGCGATCAGTATAAACAGTCCCTCCTCGATCAGTATACACAGTTACACTGCGACCAGAATAAACAGTCACACCGTGTTCAGTTTAAATAGTCTCCCCGCGATCAGTATACACGGTCACCCCGATATCAGTATAAACAGTCACCCCGCGATCAGTATACACAGTCAGCCACGATCAGTATGAACAGTCACAACGCGATCAGTATGAACAGTCAAACCGCGATATGTATAAATTATTACCCAATATATAAATTAGAATTAGTGAATTTTGACTGTTTCTTGGTTTTTTTTGTCCAATTTCGGCTGGAGGGGTGAAACAGTCAAAACTGTTTTCCCGGTCAGAGCGAACTGTTACCCGTCGCGAATTCGATGCGCAGAAATGTCCCCTGGAGAGGCCCGTTGAAGCGTTTATTTTACTTCAGCATTGATACTAAAATATCTTTTATGTAATAAAAAAATAAATTGTTTCAATACTATTAGGGAAACAGTCAAAACTACCATCCCTCGGTAGGGGGACACCCTGGACACAGTCACACTGCGACCAGTATAAACAGTCACACCGTGATCAGTTTAAATAGTCCCACCGCGATCAGTATACACGGTCACACCGATATCAGTTTAAACAGTCACACCGCGATCATTATGAACAGCCACACCGCGATCAGTATACACGGTCACACCGATATCAGTTTAAACAGTCACACCGCGATCAATATACACAGTCACACCGCGATCAGCATAAACACTCACACCGCGATCATTATAAACAGTCACACCGCGAACAGTATAAACAGTCACACCGCTATCAGTATGAACAGTCACACCACGATTAGTATGAACAGTCACAACGCGATCAGTATAAACAGTCACAGCGCAATCAGTATAAACAGTCACACCGAAATCAGTATGAACAGTCACACTGTGATCAGTATGAACACTCACACCGCGATCAATATACATCAGTATGAACAGTCACACCACGATCAGTATGAACAGTCACAACGCGATCAGTATAAACAGTCAATCCTCGATCAGTATACACAGTTACACTGCGACCAGAATAAACAGTCACACCGTGTTCAGTTTAAATAGTCACACCGCGAACAGTATAAACAGTCACAAAGCAATCAGTATAAACAGTAACACCGATCCCACACCTCGATAAGTATAAACAGTCACAGTATGAACAGTCACACTGCGATCATTATAAACAGTCACACCGCGATCAGTATGAACAGTCACACTGCGATCAGTATGAACAGTCAAACCGCGATCTGTATAAATTATTACCCAATATATAAATTAGAATTAGTCAATTTTGACTGTTTCTGGGTTTTTTTTGTCCAATTTCGGCTGTAGGGGTGAAACAGTCAAAACTGTTTTCCCGGTCAGAGCGAACTGTTACCCGGCGCGAATTCGATGCGCAGAAATGTCCCCTTGAGAGCCCCGTTGAAGCGTTTATTTTACTTCAGCATTGATACTAAAATATCTTTTATGTAATAAAAAAATAAATTGTTTCAATACTATTAGGGAAACAGTCAAAACTACCATCCCTCGGTAGGGGGACGCCCTGGGGAACTGTTTGCCCGAGGCCGCTAGGCCGAAGGCAAACAGTTCCCCAGGACTTCCCCCTACTTCGGGATGATAGTTTTGACTGTTTCCCTAATAGCATTGAAACACTTGTATACACAGCCACACCGAAATCAGTATAAACAGTCACACCGCGATCAGTATAAACAGTCACAACGCGATCAGTATATAAACAGTCACATCGCAGTATAAACAGTCACACCGCAGTATAAACAGTCACACCGCGATCAGTATACACAGTCACACCGCGATCAGTATACACAGTCAGATCGCGATCAGTATAATCAGCAACACCGCGATCAGTATACACAGTCGCAACGTACTCTTTCAACGTGCGAGGTTTTCCACTTTTACTATATTTTCCTAAGAAGATACGTTACACACAATTTAGCTGTAGATGTATGACATTACATGAATGCATGTTGTGACAATGCTGCCATCGTGTGTGTTGCTATAACACTAACCTCGTTTCCACCTAGCCCGTGACAAGGCTGAGCCTTGGGGAATGCTGGAGCCTGACCCATGCTATCCAAACATTGGTCATATGCAACATTGCGGACCTGAGTAATAAATAAATAAAAAAAGCATTAAGTATGCATCAAATAGGATAGTTTAGAACCAACGATCATGCATACATTGTAGTATGCATGCAAAACACTATAAATGACGTGTAGATCCTGCTTACAGATGCCAAGGTATACTAACTGCATCCTCGATCCTCCAGGGGTTATGCTCACTTACGCTCTCTGAACCCCTGGAATATGTCATAGTAAAATCGAAGGCTCAGTGTGCACCACCTTTTGGATGGGACAAGAAGACTAGTTTGATCCTCTAAAATCTTGCGATCGCATAACAGTAAAAGTCCCTTGCTTTGAGGTCGGATGTCGCTCCGCTGTAATCTTCAAAGGACAGGTATCAGCCTAGCGATTGGTCATGAATTATTACCCGATACCTATCAAATAGCTAGCCACTTGCCTTCAATTTTGCTTTGACATATTCTAGGGGTGCATAGAACGAAAGTAGGATGTACCTAATAATAGTATAAAATTGTTACTAGAAATACGATTTTTTTTTAATATTTGTTAAGTCGGTGCAAAATGCTGAACAAAATTGATAAAAGAAATGGCTGCACCATTTGACCATTTCACTCATTAAGGACTTACTACTGAAACTAAATATCAAAAGTAAAATATGTTCCAAACACATGTAGATTTACCCAAAAAGAGGAAACGTGCTTATAAAATATTAACATGGTGTTAATGCTATTTTAACTACTTGTGTAGCTGATAAGCCGTCACATAATCAAACCTGCTTCCATTCGCTAATTGTTAGTCTGGTTAGGCTTATCTGAATTATGAAATGGGGACACACAATAACCAGTTAAGGAATTGGGGACACACATTAAGTAGTTAAGAAATAGGGGGGACACACAGTAAGTAGTTAAGAAATGCGGACACACAGTAAGGAGTTAAGAAATGGGGGACACACAGTAAGTTGTTAAGAAATGGGGGACACACAGTAAGTAGTTAAGAAATGGGGGACACACAGTAAGTAGTTAAAATATGGGGGACACACAGTAAGTTGTTAAGAAATGGGGGACACACAGTAAGTCGTTAAGAAATGGGGGACACACAGTAAGT